GATGAACTGTGGAGTCTGAAAGCTGTTTATGACCTCAGTGAATGGGGGAGGATGAGGGTCACTCTGGCTCTTATTGCTTTATTATTAGGCTGTTATCATTATCTTCTGTTTTTGTTGTTATTACTGTCATTATTCTCTATAGGGGTGCTGATTCAAAATTCCATACTCGATTCAATACGATACGGAAATGTCTGGACATTTTTCGAAATAGCAAATATAATAATAAGAAAATAAGGAAAGGCTGAAAATGTGTCTTATGCTAATATGCCATTTTCAGTGTATTACAGCATTTAATATTATAAGAGCACTTTTGAAATGTTTGAAGCAAAAGCTGTGCTTCATAGTATCTGTTCTATAGTTTCTCGTTAGGCTGAATGAATAACCGACTCTAAATGTAGGTATTGTGATATAAACCGAGTCTGTTCTACAGTTTCTCGTTAGGCTGAATGAATAACCGACTCTAAGTGTAGGTATTGTGGTATAAACCGAGTCTGTTCTACAGTTTCTCGTTAGGCTGAATGAATAACCGACTCTAAATGTAGGTATTGTGGTATAAACCGAGTCTGTTCTACAGTTTCTCGTTAGGCTGAATGAATAACCGACTCTAAATGTAGGTATTGTGGTATAAACCGAGTCTGTTCTACAGTTTCTCGTTAGGCTGAATGAATAACCGACTCTAAATGTAGGTATTGTGGTATAAACCGAGTCTGTTCTACAGTTTCTCGTTAGGCTGAATGAATAACCGACTCTAAATGTAGGTATTGTGGTATAAACCGAGTCTGTTTTACAGTTTCTCGTTAGGCTGAATGAATAACCTACTCTAAATGTAGGTATTGTGGTATAAACCGAGTCTGTTCTACAGTTTCTCGTTAGGCTGAATGAATAACCGACTCTAAATGTAGGTATTGTGGTATAAACCGAGTCTGTTTTACAGTTTCTCGTTAGGCTGAATGAATAACCGACTCTAAATGTAGGTATTGTGGTATAAACTGAGTCTGTTCTACAGTTTCTCATTAGGCTGAATGAATAACTTACTCTAAATGTAGGTATTGTGATATAAACTCAATGTGTTTGACTCATTTGTGGGAGGAGCTTGGGGAGGGCAATTCATTGCTTAAGTAACGTGGTTTCTCTGCATGTCAGGAGGACACGATCTCCATCAACCACAACTGGCTGAATGGCTGTAATCTGGACATCATGTGGCAGTTCCTGCAGGAGGAGCTCTTGTCCGTTCAGAAGGAGATAGAAGAGTGGAGGGACACTATGGACACCTGGCACCAGCACTGTCAGGTAACAGCATCACAACCATCCAAAAACAAGAGTTCAAAAGTCATCCGAAAGTACAAGTTATCCATTTTTCAGGAAATCTTTGAGAGGAGAATAGATATAAGATGATCCACCTGCATAATGAAAGAGAAAGCAAAAGTGAAAAACAGGAGTTTCCAAAACTGATTAAAAGCTCCAGAGAAAATGTGGCTCCTAACAACCACCTGGAAGAGCTGGTCGACCCCAAAAACTGCCCCCATCAGATAAACAGCACTTAAAGCTTTCATCTCTGAGAGAGAGGAGAAAATCAAGCTGCTTCAGATCTGAAAACATCCACAGGTGTTTCTGTTCATCCTTCCACTGTGAGAAGACGACTCAGCGCTGTGGGTCTGAAAGGATGTGTAGCTGATCAAGAAGAACCTCACTGAGAAAAGGAGACGGACACATCAAACAAAGAAGCTGAATGATGGACTGACCACCCCAGAGTCCAGACCTCAACACCACTGAATGTGTTTGATTACAGAAAATGATCAACCAGCTTCTAAGACTGAACTTTGGAGGTGTGTCTGCAGATTCTTTGAGGAGCTGAAAGTGAGTCTCCTGAACAGAATGGAAGCTGGAATAAAGGGAAAGAGAGACTCACTGACTGAACACAGCTAAGGGTAGAGTTAGCTGCTGAGGATTCTGGGTAATTGTCTGTTAAATATGGTTTCTATTTTTTCCTGACACTGAAAAATGAATAACTTGTACTAAAGGGCCGTTTTGACTGGAAATTGGGAAAATAAAGTTGCATCTGACTTTTGTACTGTACTGTGTACAGTCAGTTCCATAATTACTGGCACGCTTGATAAAGATGAGTCATAAAATGATCTGAGTGCTCTCAGATTCTTTGCTCTGCATGCTCCAGTCTCATCAAGCATTATTAGAACATTTTTTTTTCACTATTTTCGGTGTGAGATGTACGCAGTTATGGAAGCCAGTGGTCCTGAGATCTACTATCCTGTGAAGTCTACTAGGCTTTGTTCACACAGCAGGTAAAAGTGGCCCAAATCTGATCTATTTCTTTGTCTGTGACACAGATGTGTGTCTGTGTGTCAATGTGAACAGATAAACACCCTGAATCTGACATTTCCAATTCAGATTTGAGACGCTTTCATATGTGGTACTGAAATCCGATACGTATTTGTGCAATGTGACTTAGTCTGAACAGCCAGATTGGAATCCATGCGACTTTTACGTCAGTATAACTCCACATTCGTCATAATTTCGTGCTACTGAGGCTCATAAACATTTAGGCTGATGTTTCTGTACAAAAAATTAGAAGAGACGTATCCAAACCCTCCGTGTTTGAAGAGATTTCTAAAGAAGTGTCCGAACGCGGCCGCAGGAGAACGAGGCTGCAGCGTCAAAGAACAGTTAAAAGTCTGAAAGCAGAGTTTAAAGAATCTGAGGACGCGAACCAAAGAAGTGACCGCAGCCTTTTAACGGCGAACTCATCACATTCTGGGTGATGAGCCCAGCTGTCAGTCAGTGAAGCTTCATGATGGCTCCTGTGATGCTGGTGAAGATGAAGCTGATCCTCCGGGAGCGACTGGCGTTCGTTGGCGGTCGTGATTGTTTACCTCTGGATGAGCCGTGAAGCAGCGTGACGCTCTGTTCTTTAGTGCATGCGGGTCAGTTTAGGAGCTGATCTGTTCAGACTGATGTCGCATACAGATCACATTTAAAAGATAATCTGAACAGACAAACAAAAAAATGAGATTTGGGCCACTTTTACCTGCTGTGTGAACGCAGCCTTAGATTCAGTACTGATCAGACAGCAGAGGACTCCAACATCAGTGAAACTCATATTGTGGTTGTCGTTGTTTCCCAGGTGATCATGAAGTCGTGTACAGGCATCGATTACGTGGAATTCGCCTCCTTTCTGAAGAACATCGCCAATAACCGGATCTCCTTCCTGACTTCTTGTCCTGGGAGTGGAAGTGCCTCCAGCTGTCAGAGCTGTCTGTCTGAAACTCTGAGTGCGTTAGGTCCTCACCATGCTGCCTTCGACCTGCAGAGGGTCGTCCACGTCTTAGAGAGCATGCTCAGCAACGAAGACTTTAAGAGACTGGAGCCGTCGGCGCTGGGCTTCAATCCAGATGACCTTCTGCAGGAGATCAGAGAGGCCGTCCACTCCATCGTTTAAAAACACCGCCAGAAACATCGATCAAAAACTTTTGTTCACTGAGCTGCCAGCTGATTGTGTCTGAATATCTCGTATCTACACTAACTGGCCATTTTATCAGAAACAGCAACCACCTGTATGATAGGTGTCTCTGATAAAATGGCTAATTAGCTGCAGTGGACATAGCAAAGTGAACACTCACACTGGCTTCCCAGACAGGGATTAAGCCAATCCTGGATTACGTTTTCCTTTCAACTGAGAATCTCCATTCTAAATGTTGTGTAGTCCAAGATTAGGCCTAAAGGAGAATTCTGCTGCTCTAATTCCTCAGATTTCCCAACATATCTGCATAATTAAAAGGCGTAAACAGAGCCGTTCAGAGTGGTTTGGTGTGAAACGCTCTGTTTTACAGAAACTTAGTCAGAACTGTTCACAGTGGTGGTGATAGGAACCAGTCGTCCACCTCTAAAAGCTCCCTCACAGAAAGTTCCTACATGAAATGGTTATGAATTCACTGCCTGATGACTGAGACCCTGTTTTATGATAGTTTTGAGAACTTAAACTCCATTCATGGTGGAGGGATACATGCAGGGCGCTGTGAGGCAAAATAGTCCCCAAAGAAAACTTATTATTTCAGATTTTCCACTATTTTCCATCATCAACATTCATATAAACTCAGAAGACTCGTGTAGGTTCACTGGTGGTTCTGGATAGTAAATAAAATGTCTATATCTGTGTTGTAGTCACGGCGACCCCTGGTTCCTATCACCACCACTGTAAAGAGACCTGCACCATTTCACACCAAACCACCCTGAATCACTCTGATTACAGCTCACACACTGAATTATGGGGAAATTTAGAAAAGTCTGTGGAATTCCTCTTTAATTCCTGTTCGGGAAGCCGACCCCCAGTGTATTATCAGGAAATGGAGAATCTCACAGACCTCTCAGGCTCAGCGCTAAGGGTCAGTGTTTTGCTGCTCGTGTATTAAGTGCATTTCAGTGCTAATAAAACTCTATAAACTAAAGACTAACATTTTATTCGGTTGTGTCAGTTAAGAGACATCAGAGTAAGAAGCTCTGCTAAAGTAATTATGACTTTTGCTGTTTGAACTGAATTAGTTTTTATTAAAGTGTTTTGTTCTCTAAACAACTGCAGTGACATTTTCACTCTAACACATCCTCACGGTCACGTTTACTTCTGTTTATATTGCTGAAATACAGTAAACACACCGCTTATTCAGACTACTGCTTGTGTGTCAGGCTCCAGGCCTCGTGGGCCGAAGCTCTGCAGGCTTCAGCTCACTGCCTCACCAAACACACCTGATTCAGCTCATCAGCTAATTAGTGAGCATTTTGGCCCGAAAGGTCCCCGGTTTGACACGCCTGGACTGAGGTGTGAACAGTGAAGTCCTTAACTGGTATGAGCAGACGTTCAGTACAGCTTCCCTCTTTATTTACAGTAAAGCTTAATTCCTTTGAAGACTTTTCATTTTTTGGAGCCTAAACAAGAATTTTCCTCCATTAATATGTGAGGAGTGCAGTCATAGAAGCTACAGCAGGCAAAGTTGTTTATTCACACTTATTTATTTAAACATAACTTATATCCAAACATCTTGCTTATATAAATAGAATAAATCTTTATACAACTTTGAAACTAACACTTCTCATTCAGTCCTTTGTGAGCGTCTGGTTATTCAGTAGTGCCAGGCTGGAGCAGCGCTGATGAACGGCGGATCTCCTTGGTTTATAATGAACTTCGGGGTCGTTAAAGCGGGACTGTGTGCTGCTCTCCGTAATCGTGATATGCAAATTAGCCTCTGACCAATCGCAGTGATGTTTACTGTGTGCTGTCATCATCCTGACCGATCACAGCCCCAAGATGAGACTCTGTGGGTGTTTTGGTGAATCAACATGTAGACGTAATCAAATAAAAGGGAATTATTTGGGTTAAAACGCTGATCCTGAACCACCTCACTGTACTGATCCATCAGTGTGTTTTTAATGTATTCCAGTAAAGCCTTTCACACTCAGACGTGGCCTCTGAAGTCGTGTGGTCAGTCTGAAGTCGTGTTTCATGCCCATATAAGGAGCTCCAGGTTTACGCTGGTTTTCTCTAAGGGAAAAGTCAGTGGTGATTGGTTAATGGCCTCCTGTGGGGAATAAAAAGGTCCCAGAGCTGATTTGTTTTCTCTGTGTACATTTTTTCCTGAATATAAATGGATCTTCTGCAGTGTGAAGTGTTAAAGGGGCTGAAATACCTCACCAAATACCCCACAAGCTCTGTACAGTGTGGTAGTTCAGAGGCGTTTGGCAGTTTCAGGCCACAGTTTGAGTAGCTGGTGTTGGAGTTTAATAGTGTGACGTTGTTTTAGTGCTCAGCAGTGTTTACATTTTACATTTATGGCATTTGGCAGACGGGCTGATCCAGGGGGGCTTACAATTTGATCAATTTACACAGGTAGGTGAAGGTAGTGTTAGGAGTCTTGCCCAAGGACTCTTATTGGTATAGTGTAGGGTGCTGACCCAGGCAGGGATTGAACCCCAGTCTACAGCGTAAAAGTGTAGAAGGCAGAGGTGTTGCCCACTATAGTATGTGTGTCTATATTTGACACTATACCAAACACAACAGTGTTAGCCTGGTGAGACCATCATCAGCAGCTCTCTAATGACTTCCTCACTGAGAGAATCCAGTGATATTCAAGCAGAAAATGTATGCAGGAGAGCACTGAGTGCATCTCAGACACTCAATTATGGGGAAAGTTAGAAAAGTCTGTGGAATTCCTCTTTAATCCCTGTTTAGGAAGCCGACCCCCGAGTGTATTATCAGGAAATCGAGAATTTCACAGACCTCTCAGGCTCGGCGCTAAGGGTCAATGTTGTTGCTGCTCGTGTATTAAGTGCATTTCAGTGCTAATAAAACTCTATAAATAAGAGTATCCAGAGTAAAAAGCTCTGCTAAAGTAATTATACCTTTAACTGTATAAAATGTACGCAGAAGTTCACCGAAATTTCATTTCAACATTTGGCCGAAAATGGTCAAAAGTGGCACTTTTGGTTTGCAGCCAAAAGAGGAAAAACACTGAAAACTTTGACTGAAAACAATAAAGATTAAACAGAATGAGAAAGTGCTCAAAATCAAACACTTAATAAGTGATCTGAAAGGTAATGATCAAAGCGCTGCTTGATTTGGCACATTCGGAAAAAAACGGTTTGATCAGCAGATAAACAGAGAAAAAAACAGCCACGTGTAACTATTTCACGGTTTCTACATTTAGATGAACTTCAGACACGAGATTAATAATCTCTGCTCATGTGGAGCATCAGGAACGTCTCCACTGCAGGACTGACAGCACCTGAAAACACTCGATACGCAGAACAGCAGAACAGCAGCCTGTTAGCTGTTAGGTTAGCGTTCTCCCCTGAGTAGAGTTAATGCGTTAGCGGTGGTTCAAAAAGATACAGTGGAGCTTCACAGGACTCAGAGGAAGCCTGTGCTAGTCTTTACCCTCCTAGTGCTGGTGGTACCGTGTGATTGGAGTCCTGACTAGTGGGTGGAATTTGATATGACTAAATTGGGGAGAAAAACTGGGGGAAAAATAAAAAAAAAATGACAAAACTCTTTTGAGGCACATTCTGTCACCTTCATACTGTAATAATTTACCACTAGTTTTCAGTAAATTATTTTTAGTTCGATTTTGTCCAGAAATCCTCTGAATGTTTTTTTTTACCACAGAAGAAGTAAATTTTATAAAAACATTGTTAATTTTTCCCATGAAGAAAAACTGCTTGGACCCAGAGTTCCTTATACGGACATTTCGCTGACCACAGAGTGACGATAACGACCTCAGAGGTCTGTATGTAGTATATATTAATAATCACAATGCTGATACTCGGTCACTCTCAGAATGATCTGCTCCTACCTGTTTATTTATTTATGTGTTTATTTATTTATTTTACTGTCCTTCGTCCACCACTCTGGCTCTGCCGCGTGGGCAGTCACTGAGGTCTGTGTGGAGGATCTGAGGGTCAGCGGTTCATTAGCGTGAGCGAGGCGGACGAGTCCGAGTCCCAGCTGACCCAGCCCCGCCCTGAGTTTCCCCGCAGGTTTCCCCCCCGCCGACTCCAGAGCGCCCCCCGCCTGCAGGCTCTCGGCCGGTGCAGACAGGCTGAGAGGCATCAGGCGCTTCCGGACGACGCCAGTGTGGTGTGTGCGGGCGGTCAGCTCCTGACCGATGTAGCAGCCTTTACTGAAGCTGATTCCATTCATGAAGACCAGGTTGGACTCCAGCGGCAGAGCTTCACCCGGAGGAAGATCCCTCACCCCCTCTGGCAGACCTGAGGACCACCATCAGAGAGAGAACACACCAAACGCACACTCACAATACTGACTCGGTACGCACATACAGCCGCGTGCAAAAGTTTGCCCCGGTGAAATTACATGTTATTCATTTTCTAAGTGAAAACAGGTGAACACATTTTAGGGCACAATTTCTGTTTATTTGCTTACATTAAAAAATATTTTAAAAATATATAAAAGGTGTCATCACTTTTTATTCAGGCCACGTTTATGTATTTAATTCAGTAAATAAACAGTAACTGTGTATTAAATAGTGCAGTGTCTCTGTAGATGTGTAACTTATTTACCCTTAGAAAATCCAAACTTCTGACCATGACTGTATTTATAAAAGTACTTTATTCATTTTATTAACTTTTTGCTAACATATTAACTTCATATTAATTTTATCAACACTAAAGTATTAATATTATTATTACCTGTATCGATATTAAAATACTTTTTAATCATATTAATCCTATGCTTACTTATTAAGTTTATTAATGTTGAAGTATTAACTTTTTGTTAAAGCATTAACTTTACTAACTCTTACTTATTATCTCTATTATTAACTGTATCAATCCTAGAATAATTTTTAATTTTACTAATCCTGTGCTAACGAAATAACTTCACTAATGTTAAATCGTTACAACTTTTGCATATGACTGATTTATAATCTCTATGATCTTCAGTGATTATATTTTGGTTTTTCATATTATTAGCAGACTCTAAATTAGAAGCATATTCATTAGTTATTACTATTAATATTATCGACGATGTATGACTATTGATGACTAAGGACTACTGAATTTTGTATTTTATCACTGAACGAGCTCAAATGAAATGAAAATAAACTGTGCTGCATCAAATCCAATAAAACAGGACTGATTATGTTTCTCTCTAATAAAATTAGGGATGCTTTGATAACGATACTGGTATTGAGTATCGGCTTATACTGTGCTCATTTACTCAGAAAGACGCTCAAACACTAACATCCACCACCAGTTACACTAACATCTACCACCAGTTACACTAACATCCACCACCAGTTACACTAACAGCTACTTCATTCTGAGCAGTGTGGTATCAGACTCGGTATCAGCGAGTACTAAAACTACCTACTCGTACTAAAACTACCTACTTGTACTCGGTCTCTAAGTAAAATATGCAGTTTAGTGTTCTTTAAGGACTGACGATGTCCTCAATGTGCTCAGAAAAGAATATTCTGATGTAATTTGTTACGACAACAATAAACATGGCCTTAAAAATGACGATCACTCTTAAAAACTATGGATCTTCAAGGGTTCCATGAACCATGAACACGCAAAGAACCCTTTGCATGGTTAAATGGTTCTTTGCATTATGAAACGGTTCTTCAGATTAATGGAGAATGTGCTGTAAGTGGTTCTGTATAGACCCTATTTGAAAAGGGTTCTATATAACACCAAAAGGGGTTCTGCTATTATTACAATGTCAACCTTGTACAAATAGAAGAACTCTTTTTGGTGCTAGACAGAACCATATACAACACAACACATTCTCCATCAATCTGAAGAACTATTTCATGATGCAAAGAACCCTTAAATCATGCAAAACGTTCTTTGTGTGTTTTCTTTGCCCTTGAAGAACCGTCATTTTTAAGTGTGCACTATCAGAATATGACACAAATCATCTGTTTATATAGAAAACTAACAAAAAATAAGAAAACAGGAGGTAATTAACAGAAACCAGATCAGCCAAGGATTCTGGTAAGCTCCGCCCCCTCAACTATAATATTTATATTATTTAAAACGGTGAGTTTTTGCTGTTTATTAGTTTTAAGAAGTGCAAACATTCAGAGCCGTTGATCAGATCAGTCAGTAAACACTGTTCGACTAAAACTAGAGAAAATATTAAAATACAACACTATATATATCCATTTAATATACATCATTGTAATACATAAAACTAATATAACAAATATAACACCACTAGAGGTAACACTGAAATAACACTATATTTATTATATTTAATTTATATGATATACAATATATAAAATTATATAACACTAAAATAACAAACATAACACAGAACAACATTAAAATATTAAATATGAATATTAAAAGGTTTATTATCCTGTAAATCAGTGAAGTGTATCAGCAGTATGACGTACCGATGGTGTAGCGGTGTCGGTGGTACTGCTCGGTGTCTGCGTGTTCACAGTCGGTGAGGAGTTCTGCAGGGTTCTGCGTGCTCTTGGTGATCATCCTCCAGCCCATCAGCTCTGTCCGGGGGTCCTGCACCAGCACTAGGGGCTTCTCTCTCCCCTCCTCGGTGGTCAGCGGGGGCTGCGGGGGGTCCTGAGAGGAGTTCCGGGGCCATAGAGCCCACAGAGAGAGATCGTCCCGCGGGGTCACCGTCACTTTACGACGGATCTTATACACCTTCAGGTGACGAGTCATAGAGTCTAGAACCGAGCTGTCACACTCCAGGAGAACCCCACTCAGGTCTCCTGAGGGTTCCTTCAGACTGGACAAACAAGAAATCACACAGTGGGCAGCGGTCAGGACGGCTGAGGAGGATAATTCATAATCAGGCCAGTGACTGTGCGGCTCAGCGACACTCAGAGAAATCAACACCAGTATTCAGGATTCTCCAGATACAGCACACATCAGATGAGGGTCACGTTTGTGTTCAAATCTTTATTCAATTTAATTTTACTACATTAACATTAATAAAGTTCATAGGTCAGCAGTAATAAAGCCACTGAGCCCCATTAATAAATTTAAAAAGGCTGTATTCATAACTTAATAACATAGCATTAATAAAGTTAATGAACCCAGGCATTAATAATGTTAATAATATAACATTAATACAGTTAATAAGTCAGTATAAAACTAGTTAGCATAAATTATATGTTCAGTATTAATAAAGTTCATATTAAAGTTAATAAGTAAGAACTAATAAAGTTAATAATTAAAAGTTAATAAGTTAATATAAAGTTTTTAAAAAATTTAACAAAAGTATATTTAGTGTTAATGCAGTTAATAATAAAGTTGATACGTTAGCATTAATAAAGTCAATCGTTTAACATTAATAAAGTTTATAAGTTTACACAAAGTTAATAAAGTATGTTTAGCATTATAAAGTTAATAATGTTAATAAGTAAGCACTAATGACAGTTAATAATTTATCATGAACAAAGTGAATAAGCTGGCACAAAGTTAATAAAGTGAAGAAAAGTATGTTTACTATTAATAAAGTTGATAAGTCCGCTTTAATATTGTTAATAATTTAAGTTAAAGTTAAGTTTAAGTTAAATAAAATGAAGAAAGAATGTTTAGTATTAACGAAGTTAATGATCAGTAGATAGTATGATTAGTATGATGTATTAATAGAATTAATAATGTAACATTAATAAAGTTATTAATATGAATAAAGTGTGTTTAGGTTTAAGTTAATTTAAACATGTTAACAGGTGTTACAGTGATGGTGAGTCTTTAACAGTTAAAAGAAAGTGTCCTAAACTCACAGTGCAGTAAACATTATTATTATTCTTATTATTATTATTAATATTATTATCACTGAAGTGAAATAACAAACTGAACCCGTTCCTAACTGTTTAGTTCCGTCAGTGACTGTCCAGGGTCGGACTCTTCACCCCTGACCTCTAACTGAGCCTGAGAAGTATCAGAGTGACAGTGAAACACAGTTCAACACCCAAAACACCATCGACAATCTGCAGCACCAGCAGACGTGGAGCTCCTGCAGAGGAGAGATAACAGAGAGAACCGAGAGAACAGAGAGAACGGCTCTTCGGCAGGTTCCCTCTGAGGGGTAGAGCAGTAACAGAGAGCTGCAACAGAGGAATCATAAAGACTGAGGAATCAGTTAATAGACTGATTTCAGAATATAATATTTTTGTGGCTGAACTTCATTAACAACAAAGTCAAAGGCTACAAACGATCTGACATGTGAACCGATCCAAGCTTCACTGGAGTCGGATCACTCACTCACTCCTCCACCCAGACATTCACCCTCCCTCCTCTTCTGTCTCAGAAGCCAGCTCATCCATCCAGGCTCCAGCTCACCCATCCAGGCTCCAGCTCATCCATCCAGGCTCCAGCTCACCCATCCAGGCTCCAGCTCATCCATCCAGGCTCCAGCTCACCCACCCAGGCTCCAGCTCACCCACCCAGGCTCCAGCTCACCCACCCAAGCTCCAGTTCACCCACCCAGGCTCCAGCTCACCCACCCAGGCTCCAGCTCACCCACCCAGGCTCTTCTCAGACGTTATCATGTGTTCTACCTTCAGATACAGCACAACAACCCACAGCATGGATCTCCAGCAGGAGTGAGGAACCCTGGAGAGGAAAGACCTGTTTAAGGTTCTCCGGCTCACCTGTAGATGATGATGTCGTAGAGGGTTCTGCCCTGGACGTTCAGCATGTGGGCGTACAGAGCCTGCAGGTCCTCCTCCAGCAGCTTCATGTCGTTGGTGATGATCCCCTGGAGGAAGGCGGCCGTGTCTGCTCCGTGGAGGTGGAGCAGAGCCCTGCAGGCCAGCCTGCAGCACCACAGCGGGGCTGGAGCTCCGTGTGGCCGGGCTGCAGCGCTCTGAGGCGGAGCGGGTTTCTCCGGCTCTCCGCTGGAGGAGCTGATCCAGCGCAGAGTCGCTCCAGCCCGGCTCAACCTGCAGAGCAGGCCCGCTCGAACCACCCGGACCATCAGAGCGGCTCTCATAGTGATAAAGAAGCGGCTGATAGAGTTAATAAAGTTAATTAAAGGTCATTAAAGTTATTAAAGTCATTAAACGCGCTGAACGCCGCACTGTTTTGGTTTGACATTGCGCTCTTCTTCGCTTCCTCTCTGATCCCAGGTGGCGTAAACACAGCGCCGCACAGCGCCCCCTACAGACACGGCAGTGTCACTGTATCAGTGCAGTACAGTCATATTATCACATCATAGAAAATCACCTCACTTCTTTTCTTTTTTCATAGACGAGTGTAATAATGTATGTTATTATATAATAATGGTAATAGGATGTAAACATTGTATCCTATATATCCATATCCTATATATTTCTTGCATTTTGATCTTTTTCCTTGAGCTCTGCTTATGTTTATGTCGTTTTATTCACTGAAAACAGTCATAATTCATTTTCCATCTTCTGTTATCAGTTATCACTCAATGAGGCTGTTTTTGTTACCATGCCTAAAAGACTCATATTTAAATGAGCTCTGTTCTGATTGGCTGTATCTCATTCAAAAAGCAGGGCTGAAACACTCTTTATAACTTCAAGGTGAATGGGCGGGGCTAAACGGCTGTAGGCTGAATGGGCGGGGCTACACTGCTGTAGACTGAATGGTGGGGCTAATCAGGCCATCCAGTCCCATCATTATATTTATGTATATGTTTGCTTGCTTGTTTTCCCCATGTCACTGATGATGATGATGGTGAGGTCAGTGGTCCTCAGGCTGCAGTGTGAGATGCTGAAGATCGTCCTGCGGCTCCTGCCAGACAATATCACTCTGATTTCAGACAGAACTCAGAGCGACTGTCCCTCAGACAAGGCGTTTCCCTCGGAGACGACTGATATCCAAAACACCCACCATCAGCAACAAAACAACCCTCAAAACCCCTCAACCCCACGCAGAACCATCTCCTTCAGACTACATCTGACCTACATCAGACTAATAAACAAAGCCTCCAGTCTCGGACATCGTGTTACGCATAAATTATACAATCCTGAATATTAATGTGTACATTAACAGCCTCGCAGTGAGGTCATCTAACAGCCCCGATATGAAGGACAAACAAGCTGAGTTGAAAGCAACTCAGTGCTGACCGTCCACACATGTACGTTACAGTGACGACCATGGATTACTTTAACCTGAAACACCTACGTTGTGCTACCACTTACTGGCCACTTTATTAGAAACACTTACCTTGTGCTTCCACTCACTGGCCACTTTATTAGAAACACCTACCTTGTGCTTCCACTCACTGGCCACTTTATTAGAAACACCTACCTTGTGCTTCCACTCACTGGCCACTTTATTAGAAACACCTACCCTGTGCTTCCACTCACTGGCCACTTTATTAGAAACACCTACCTTGTGCTTCCACTAACTGGCCACTTTATTAGAAACACCTACCTTGTGCTTCCACTAACTGGTCACTCATTCTTTGTTAAATGTTCAGTGGAAACAGTTTTTAGGGATCTGCTGTCGTACATGGGCGCATTTATACACAATCATTAGATTCATATACGCAGCCATTAAACATCATACATTCATCTACAACTTTAACTGCTGGGAGACGGTGAAGCAGCTCGGTGAACGTGTACAGATCCCTGTGAGAAAGATTGATGACAACCTGTGCGAATCAAACCAGGAAGAACACAATCATTTCATATAGTGAGAATTAAAACATTTAATTCAAATACAACTCCAACAAAATGGACGAAAATCTGTAAAGATCATGACGCAAAACATTATATAGTGACATTTTGTACTTGTCTTTGAGTCTGAGTGACGGACCTCATACCATCAAAGCTGAATGGTGGGAGCTAAACTGCTGTAGCTGAATGGGTGGAGCTAAACTGCTGTAGACTGAATGGTGGGGCTAAACTGCTGTAGCTGAATGGTGGAGCTAAACTGCTGTAGACTGAATGGTGGAGCTAAACTGCTGTAGCTGAATGGTGGAGCTAAACTGCTGTAGCTGAATGGTGGGGCTAAACTGCTGTAGCTGAATGGTGGAGCTAAACTGCTGTAGCTGAATGGTGGGGCTAAACTGCTGTAGCTGAATGGTGGGGCTAAACTGCTGTAGACTGAATGGTGGAGCTAAACTGCTGTAGCTGAATGGTGGGGCTAAACTGCTGTAGACTGAATGGGTGGGGCTAAACTGCTGTAGCTGAATGGTGGGGCTAAACTGCTGTAGACTGAATGGTGGAGCTAAACTGCTGTAGACTGAATGGTGGAGCTAAACTGCTGTAGCTGAATGGTGGAGCTAAACTGCTGTAGCTGAATGGTGGGGCTAAACTGCTGTAGCTGAATGGTGGAGCTAAACTGCTGTAGCTGAATGGTGGAGCTAAACTGCTGTAGCTGAATGGTGGGGCTAAACTGCTGTAGCTGAATGGTGGGGCTAAACTGCTGTAGACTGAATGGTGGAGCTAAACTGCTGTAGCTGAATGGTGGGGCTAAACTGCTGTAGACTGAATGGGTGGGGCTAAACTGCTGTAGCTGAATGGTGGGGCTAAACTGCTGTAGACTAAATGGTGGAGCTAAACTGCTGTAGACTGAATGGTGGAGCTAAACTGCTGTAGCTGAATGGTGGAGCTAAACTGCTGTAGACTGAATGGTGGAGCTAAACTGCTGTAGCTGAATGGTGGAGCTAAACTGCTGTAGACTGAATGGTGGAGCTAAACTGCTGTAGCTGAATGGTGGAGCTAAACTGCTGTAGACTGAATGGTGGAGCTAAACTGCTGTAGACTAAATGGTGGAGCTAAACTGCTGTAGCTGAATGGTGGGGCTAAACTGCTGTAGCTGAATGGTGGGGCTAAACTGCTGTAGCTGAATGGTGGGGCTAAACTGCTGTAGACTGAATGGTGGAGCTAAACTGCTGTAGACTAAATGGTGGGGCTAAACTGCTGTAGCTGAATGGTGGAGCTAAACTGCTGTAGCTGAATGGTGGGGCTAAACTGCTGTAGCTGAATGGTGGAGCTAAACTGCTGTAGCTGAATGGTGGGGCTAAACTGCTGTAGACTGAATGGTGGAGCTAAACTGCTGTAGACTGAATGGTGGGGCTAAACTGCTGTAGCTGAATGGTGGGGCTAAACTGCTGTAGCTGAATGGTGGGGCTAAACTGCTGTAGACTGAATGGTGGAGCTAAACTGCTGTAGACTGAATCCGTATTGACAGTTTTGTTGATAAAAATACAAAAGAACATGTTAAGTTAATCCTACATTTATTATTGTTTGTTATTGATGAACAAATCACATCAGTTACAATCTTAACCAGTAAAGGCACATCTGGAAAAAGCATCTCCAAAGGCAGGACTGCATTCTTACAATTTGCTCTTAAGTTACTTATTGCATAGAACCCAAAATCTCTTTGCATAACCTTTAAAAACTTTAGACCTTGTTCTACTTAATTTTAAGTTGAGTTCGACTTCACAACTTTAAAACTTGGCATATTATCATTAAACATTTCAACATTATTGCACATTACATGAGAGCTCTGGTATCCTCACCATTTCACTGTATACCGTCCCTCACTGCATACGGCTCAAATACAAATACACTTCAGAAAAACAGTTTCTGGGGAAAACTGCAGGCCTGGATTTCTTCAAAAATATCTAAACTTATATATTTTAAAACTACTTCTCTGTATATTTATTTACACTGTGAAATATTATAGAGTTTTTCTCCGAAAAACAGTGCAAGTTGAAATAAATACTACAGTTTTACATGTTGTTACTATTGATCTGTTAGTTTTGTATTGTAAAGAGTTCAGCTGAATGTACAGATTTTACGACTGAGGATAAACATCAAGAAATCTCAACGGCACCATTTTCACCTCTCCGTCGCACACAAAACTAAAGGTAACTTCTTATTCGCCAACTTGAGCTTTGTTCATTGCACTGCATTATGAATTGTAGAGTACATATTTTGAAAAAACAATTCAAAACAAACCAATATTGACGAGAGCTGAGTGTCCAGACATCTTGGGGTAGCATGTTTGTAAGAACAAGTGAAGATAATACTTCATAAGGATGATCTAAGCTAGAGTGAATCTCTTGTTATACCATATCCTCGCTCAGATTTAACCTGAACAACTGTACATTAATAAAATAAATTAATTCATTCCACAATCCATCAATAAAACACCTCATCTGACTTGCAATATGGTGCATGCTTTAAAAAGGACACAATATGTGGATCAGTAAGTGTGCTAAGAACTACTCTGAGGGTTGGTAAGCACAAGAAGATGCATCAAGAAGATAGGGATGCTGTTCCTGTATCCTCCTTTCTTGCTACAGGATTACTAGACTGATAGGTTGTTTTATTTTCCTTCATTGTTCTTTCCAAAAAGACAAAGGAATTGGATAAAGTCTTCTACAAAGGTCTACATCAGTAACAACGCTGATGAGTTTAGACACCTAAATCCACACAGAAGTCTTTCCATTTTTCACTATCGTCCCAGCCTTCTCTGGGCCAGCTTTGGGCCGGGCGCCCTGCTTTTCTTGGGCCGTGTTAACCCGGTTCTGCTCTGCTACGGTGGCACCGGAAGTTGGGCTGCTGGTTCTGGATGTCTGAGGGTTTTTGGCATTGTACGTTTGAAAGGCCATGTCCAGCTGCTCCTGTGCCACTCGTAGGTGCCGGTGCAAGCTGGCCAGATCTGATGGGATATTCTCATCTGGACTGGTGCAGTGCTGCTCCTGCCCAACTCCTGCCAAGTTCTGGTCATGGGAGAGCAAGCTGTTGGCCATGCGGATTGCGGGCTTGTCGGACTTGATCACGAGGTTGTACCCTGGTGGAGAGGCTGGAATATTCCTGGAATAAGGATAACCATAGGAATTGGGGTGACCCTGCCTCCGACGCTTGCGGATCGTATCCCTGAAGGCGCCGATGCCCAGGTGGAACATCTCACACACGTTTAGGACCAGACAGAGGCAGCTCACCACGTACATGATGAGCAGAAAGATGGTTTTCTCTGTCGGCCGAGACACGAAGCAGTCCACCTTGTGCGGGCAGGGTACCTTGTTGCAAACGTACGAGGGGCTCACACGGAATCCGTAAAGCAGATACTGACCCGCAAGGAATCCAACCTCAAACACGGCACGGGACAGCAGCTGGAGAACGTAGATCCTCATCAGACCCTCCTGCATGATCCTGCGGCGGCCGTCGTGCTTGGCAGGACCTTGATCCGAACTCTTCTCCACCTCCGGCTTGGCCTCCTGAACCTCCAGAGTGAAAAAAAAGAATGAGAATCAGGCTTTATTGGGCAATTGTGTTTGCACATTTAAAGAAATTGCTTTTGAATACACTGTAGCAAATGACGTCCTTAGAATTTTTAGGCTGGGTGTTGGACCCTTTGAATCAACCGGTGTTGTCGTGTGGACATGGTGTCAAATACACAGGCCAGAATTCTATCATTGCGCATCACGATTTATTATTATTATTATTGAGCACGCTACATTTTACATTCATTAAATAGCATCTATAAGAAAACCTAAACAGAACTGCTTTTGATTAATGCTTGAAGACATCCAGAATGGGGGGTATCTGCAAACTTCCAGGAGGGGACTTTTTACCAGTTTTCTTGCAATAAAACAGCAAAGAAACACTATGAAACACTTCAGTTTACTGTCTTGTTTTACTCTCTACCCTGCTGAAAAAAAAACCCTTAGAACCATTAGAACCATTAGGATTAAAACGGATGATTCTGCTTTCTAGTGGGAATTGGCTTTAGAGCCTTGAGGGACCACTAGTTTTCTCTAGGACACCTTTAGATCCCACTAAGAAAACATCAAATGCATCTGGAATCAGTCCCAGAACACCTGTTGCCATTAGAGTCTTCTACACTGTGATATCAACCTATCAGGTAAACACACAATACCATTACTGACTGTTGGACAGCAACAGGACCCAGCGGAAACTTCTAATTGGTTCTATGCGTTTTTAGCAAGGCATTCAGGTGTACAACACCACATTTCAGTAAAACCACCATAAACTAATAATTTATTTTATAGAAAACCTTTAGATTTCTTTGAGGACCAAACAATTCTGTGAATAAAGCCTACTGTGACCAAAAAGCTTGAAGACGAGTCACATTATCCTGCTCTTAGGATGAAGCCGAGATTCTGCCCATCTGGCACAAGCCTGGTCACCTTTGCCACAAAACTGGTAAAGCAATTATCGGACCTTCTGACCTTTGTGCACTTTCACATTTGAAATCCGTCCTGTGAATACCGCACTACACTATATCTTGTCTAAGCTGGGCACATCGACTTATTTAATGACAGGGGAAACACTGGTAGCTCATAATAGGTCACAATGGAAATTTTATTTTTATTCAATGTTATCCACTAGCTAGGTCTCCACTCCCTGCTAACAGCATAGACCAGAATGCCTGGTCACCAGCAAATCCAGTATATGTTGTGTTTTGGATGCTGGTATGCAGGTCAGCCAGCATGACCATGTTGGGTGATCAGCTGGACCAACACAGACCAGCTTAGTATGTAATGTATGTCTGATGTCTGTGCTGTTTTTTTTCAGCAGGGCCATCACACGGTAGCTAACAACCCTTATAAAAAGTATACAGTAAGTATACTAATATCAATGTACTGGTAATTTACTTGTAAGTGTACTACTTCAGAACTTCTTGGACTAAATTGGCCCACTTTTTAGTTTATAAAAGTTTTTTAAGTATTCTTTGGGTGTAAGAATAGTTTGAACTTTGAGTACACTACTAGTTTACATATGTTTTATTTTGTACTGCAATTATACTGTGTACTACACTAAAAGTGAACTTTTAAGTAACTGTTCAATTACTAGTTATATACTTCTATCCCACATTATAGTTTATATAGACTTTTAAGTATACTCTCAGTAAAGTACTAGTTTAAGTATGTACTTGTAGGTTTTCTTTAAATGACTTAATGTGATACTTAGTTTACTACTTATAATTTATTTTTGCACTTTAAAGTATACTAGTAGATTTCTATTTAGGTATTTTTTTATTCTTGAAATATACTTTTAACTGTAGTTTAAGTAGACTTGAAGTTAAGTAATATGAACACTACCAGCGGACTACACATATAAAAATTGATAAGACATACTCAGGATTAAGAACATATTTGTTTTCTTTATATTTTCAAACCAATATTGTACTTGATGCCAAAATATGAGAACATAACAACTCAAATCAACATTCCAGATCATGACAAAACAACACAACAAACACACACAGTCTTTAGGGAGGATTGATATTAGAATTGGTGGCGTGTAACCTCTCTGAAATCAGTTCCTGGCTGCCCACAAACAGGCTGTACTCTTCTACAGTTTAAAGATGAGTTCCACAAATGTACTGTTTACTCTGAGCTATTTCTCCCCAAAATACAAGCCAAGTATACTTAAACTTTATGTATAAGGCAAGAATACTTACTTATACTTTTCTTAAGTACATTTCAACCAAAAGATTAAGCACAAGTACAGACCAAATGTACTTGTAGTTTTCTGTATACATGTCAGTATAAGCAACGTATACTTGAATATAATTTCATCTAGTATATCTCTGATAAATACATAAAAAGTAAACAGAAAACATAGTACATTAAAAAACTTCTTTTGTTGAAAGGAAACCTGTGAGGGTGAGGGCTAACATACATCCTTCTTCAGTACTCAGCAGTCAAATCATCCTTGTCATATCAAAACCTTGCAACTTTATTTCTTTATGCCGTTTAAAAGTGCCAGCACCTCTTTACACTGTGTGAACCATTTCATGATGAATGGACCGACAGAAATGCTCCAACATTACTTAGAATAAAATCTTGTTTTATAATAGAGTTAAGAACTTTTTTCATCTCCTATAAAGTTGCAGTTTCTGAGATGCGAGGTTTTGAATTAACAGCAATGAAAGACTTCACTACCTCCAGCGCGTCCTCATAGATCATCGGCTCCACATCATCATCTTCTTCCTCCTCCAGGACCTCCTCCAGGTGATGGCCGGACCTCCACCTGCTCCTGTGGCTCCTCCTGTGCTGCCGCTGCTGTTTGCGGCGCTCCTCCTCCGAGGTGCGGGCGATCTTGTGGATGGCGTAGCCCAGGTACATGACGGAAGGTGTGGAGATCATGATGATCTGGAAGACCCAGAAGCGGACGTGCGAGAGCGGGGCGAAGGAGTCGTAGCAGACGTTGTCGCAGCCGGGCTGCTTGGTGTTGCAGGTGAACTTGGTCTGCTCGTCCGAGTAGATGGACTCTCCGCCCACGGCCGTCAACACGATGCGGAAGACGATGAGGACCGTGAGCCACACCTTCCCCACAAAAGTGGAGTGGTTATGGATCTCCTCCAGGAGACGCGTGAGGAAGCTCCAACTCATGTTGGTCATAGAAGCTGTTCACCTACGATCTGCAGACAGCAAGAGAGAAATTAGAGTCACTTTAGTACGACTTCCTTTCAGTAATGTTATCAACTGAGGACTCTGTAAAGATCACAGTGGCTTTTATCTAAACTAACTGTAGACTGAGGTTAAATGATAATAATTTGCTGTTGGGCAGTGTTCATGAGGATATATGACACCAACGTTTTTCATGTTACCACAATGGGTCATTTCTGTATTTCTCTGTAATCTATACAGAGATCTCTTATCCCATGTTGCAGAATCAGCGTTTACCCTCATCTAACACTCTGAATTCAGTTCACGAAGGCCTTGCTGATTCGCTGATGAGCTGAATCAGGTGTGTTTAATGAGGTAGTTTCCTGAAGTCTGCAGAGTTTTGGCCTGAAGCCTGACGCATGTGCCTCACAGGAATGGTTTGGCAAAAAATCAAATGAGCACAATTGTCCTATTACCCCAAATGTAGTCGATCATCCAAGACATGTTTGGTGACCGAATTTTGCTTCTTTAATCTGGATCTAGAGCTATGAAACTAATGTTTGCTAACAAAAACTAGAAATCAATAGTCACCCACATCCTTTCTGTAAATACAACCCCAAAACTTCTCTCAACCCTCTCAAACTACATCCAAGTCCTTAGTAAGGTTGCTCAGATTTGTAGATGTGGTTTAGGACACAGTATGACTTACTTTGAGCTATAAACCTGAACTTCACCATGTAACTGAATGATGCACACTGTGAAGTTTGGTTCATATTCATAGCTCTCAGTAACTCATACTCTGTCCTAAAGCACATCTACAAATCTGCACCACCTTAATGATCAAGAAGTGGGTTTGAGAGGGTTGAGAGAAGTTCTGGGGATATATTTACAGAAAAGATTTGGGTGACCATTGACTTTTAGTGTTTGTCAGCAAACCATGTCTTGGCTGGTCAACTACATCTAAGGTTATCACTGCAGCCCTGTAAAAGTCCTGGACACTTGATCAGTGGCTTTGATTTTTTATTAAATCAAGTGGACAGGCAGCTGCTTACGATGCAGTCAGAAATAGATGTCAGTTCAACCTCAGCTTTGTTATCATGTATTAAGTGCTGCCTAAACATCACCAGCAGTGCACTTTTCCCCAGATGTTAAGGCTATTCTCAAATGTTTTGACTGGATAAAACAAAGCAGTTTAAACTTAATAAGAATTGCTAACATATGAAAACGCTTGGATTCCTGGATATTACACCAAAAACCTGGACAATCCAAGGAAATCCTGGATGGGTGGCAACCTTAACTACATCCGGGGTAAGTGGAAAAAATGTGTACGTTTGATTATTCACCTAACTACTTATTTAAATAATACAGACAGCCTACTTCATGGACATACTTCCGGAAGAGTGAGTAGTACCTTTGTATTTTTAGAGTTGGATCCTTCATAACATTTCAAAAGAAAACAGGATTCTGTGTTTATCCAGATAAAAAAGTTACAGGCCTCTATCAGTAAGACATTTAGATGAGAGTGACTGTACTTCTGTGAATAACATATGGAAACACCAACCACCGTACATACAGTTCAGATCATCTCAGTTCCAGCTGTTTTCAGTTCTGCAAATATATTGACTCTCTGTCTCTGCAGTTCCTCTGTGGGGTTCCACAGTGTGCTGACAGCACTATACACCTCCTATTTAGTCTGGATCCCCAGATTACTTGATATGTAGCAGAGTGATTAACCCTCTCGATGTGTTCAGACCTTCTTAAACTCTCCTTTAAAGGCTCTTCATATAACATGATCCTCATATGTTTCATATCAAAATGCTCCGTTATCTTCATCACTACTTTCCAAAACTGCTACAGCAACTTCAGCAGCTGTAAACTCTCTGCACGCCGTTTCACATGAGTCTCCGATGTGGACTGAATGAAGAATGAAGGGTTTCCGGCGTGATGGTCTGTCCTTAGTGATTTCCCGAGTGTCCGTTGGTCAGTTTCACACAGAATGTAGACGGACAGACAGATCCACCAGTTCCACATGGTAAAAGGCGGATGATGTGTATCTCAGCCCTTCTTCATAGGCTCATAACTCCGAATGTGAGTCTCGTATGATCTCACGATAAAATGGAGTGGAAAGGCGACTCTACAGATTCAGGAAGTGTTTGAACTGGATTTCTGAGCTGGATCATCACAAAGATACAGACACAGATACACTGATCAAGCATAACATTATGACCACCTCCTTGTTTCTACGCTCATTGTCCATTTTATCAGCTCCACTTACTATATAGGTGCACTTTGTAGTTCTACAGTTACAGACTGTAGTCCATCTGTTTCTCTGATACTTTGTTAGCCCCCTTTTACCCTGTTCTTCAGTGGTCAGGACCCCCATGGACCCTCACAGAGCAGGTACTATTTGCGTGGTGGATCATTCTCAGCACTGCAGTAACACTGACGTGGTGGTGGTGTGTTAGTGTGTGTTGTGCTGGTCTGAGTGGATCAGACACAGCAGTGCTGCTGGAGTTTTTAAACACCTCAGTGTCACTGCTGGACTGAGAATAGTCCACCAACCAAAAATATCCAACAGCGTCCTGTGACCACTGATGAAGGACTGGAGGATGACCAACACAAACTGTGCAGCAGCAGATGAGCTATCGTCTCTGACTTTACATCTACAAGGTGGACCGACAAGGTAGGAGTGTCTAATAGAGTGGACAATGAGTGGACAGTGTTTAAAAACGTGCTGCTGGAGTTTGTGAACCCCAGAGGGTTAGCAAAAATATTTGCATCAGCAAGACAAACACGACAATCTTCTGGAAAAACAGATACAGGAAAAGATGCATGTAGTCAAGTTGATTATTCATATTTATTCCCTCACTTCCCACAAATCTATTCCTGGCCGATTCTGTTTGACCACTAAAAGACTCTGATGGGAAATTAAGGCCAAAGAGGTCTTTGACATTAGCAGTGGGCAGATGACTTCATATGAGTGGACAGTAGTGGAAAGTATAGTCATGGTGCATAGTGCTCCAGATTAACCTAAAGCAAGACTATAAAATATTCATTTTTTCTGACTGCAGCTGAAGATAACGCTTCCTCAAAGCCACACAAGTCCAGCTGAATGCCTCCACGGCCCTGCTCCTCCTAGCCTGCTAACTCGGTTAGCTTGGTAACCCAGTTAGGAGGAAGACAATGAAGCCAGCTCGACTTACGACAAAGCTTAAACTACAAATACATGAAGCTCAGACGCAAAAACGCATAAATCCAGAATGTAGATTATAAACATAGTGTGAAAGCAAAGCAAGGTTGTGTTGCAAAACAACACACACTATCTTAGGCAGCCTAGCTTCTGCGGCCATCTTCACTGCTGAGACCTGAGAGTCACTTTTGGAAGTTAATCATTGTGACCTCTTTGGTTCTGGTTTGGAAACGTCATGATTTCATTCATGGGCTGGAACACCAGGATAAACTCATTGGAACAAATATTTCTCCATATCTGGTGTAGAAGCCAAAGTACAAACATGCAAAATATTGTATTTCTTCTCAGGTGTTAGCTTGTGTGTTGTCCCCCTAGTGGCCACAACAGGTATTGTTGTATTTGTGAACAATACAGATAGGTGTTCGCTACCTGAGGACATTTAATAGTTCATGTTTGGGTCTTTTTTTTTGTTTCATTTGCTTTGAAGGAACATTTAAAAAAGTTAATATTAACCAGCTAACAAGGGATGTTAGAGGTCATTCAGTTTTCGTCCGCTGAGTAATGTTACACAAAATGTAGGAGGAACTTTACAAACAAGCCCATATACATGTGTTGAAATGATGCATTCAGAAGATGTTCATCTCTGTAAATAGTTGTGTTGTGAATGACATTACATGATTACAAAAACATGTAATTCATTAATAGATTATTTAGTAAATATTCCACACAGTGCAGGGGTCTTCAACCCGATCCTCAGAGCCCCCAGATGGTCCACATTTTCACTCCAGCCCAATGCATTATGAGTCAAGCTGGAGCAAACATATGCACAGTCTAGGGGTCGTGAGGACCACTGATACAATTAAACATTACAAACATTATATATGATACATTTAGTACGTAGTATGCAAATGAAGCAGGAATGTAAATGAGTGGAACTGAAGGATAAACGGGAATCAGTGAAGACCGGTTTAGAACGGTTAAAAGGGTGGTCTGACAGAAAAAAAGGACAGACCCCTGCAGGCTGACTGTAACATGGTTTAGGTTCTGAGAAGGTTCCCTGTGGATTAAACCTGAGGAGAACACAGATCTGCACCTCCACTGATGTGGAAAGAAGAAACAAGTAAACATCCCATGATCAGACTGACCAGGTCTCTTAAGAGAGAGAGAGAGAGAGAGAGAGAGAGAGAGAGAAAGAGAGAGAGAGAGAATTCTATTCTTCTGGGAAGGTTTTACTCTAGATTTTGGAACATTGCTGTGAGGATTTGATTGAGCATTAGTGAGGTCAGGTACTGATGTTGGATGGTCAGTTCTGGATTAATTCAACTCCAAAAGTATTGGATGGAGCTCCATCACTCCAGAGAACACAGTTCCACTGCTCCACAGACCAGTGCTGGAGGGCTTTATACCCCTCTAGCTGATTCTATTGGTCAGTGCTTTTCTATGGAGACTATATAAGCTATATCAGTAATGGGTGACCTTAAAGTATCTAAACTCACCCACTAGAAGGAGCGTCCAGATACTTTTGGATAGACAGAGTATTTATCCACAAGATCTTCCAAATATGTAGATACAATGTTTTGTTCCAGCAGTCCTTTATGACTGTACACAACTCCAATACTTACAATGTAACTGTACACACACTTTACAGGACTGGGCCCCCTTTATTTATTTAACTAGATTTAAAAGCTGTAGAGAAAATGTGGCTTCTAACAACCACCTGGAAGAGTTGGTCGACCCCAAAACGGCCCCCATCAGATAAACAGCACTTAAAGCTTTCATCTCTGAGAGAGAGGAGAAAATCAAGCTGATCAGATCTGAAAACATCCACAGGTGTTTCTGTCC